TGTTTCATTCATATTTTACTCACGTTTTATTAATCTTCCATGACACGTGGAATTCGTGAATAATTCGAACAGATAACATTAATTGTGAAAACTAATTTGGAATTTCTTCCCTTCGTTTAAAAGTATCGAATGCACCTTTGACTGAAGTTGACTCGATAACCGAGTATTTCGGGGTTCAGATGAGAGACGTTATATCGTACATTTCCTAACCTTGTCTGAAGCAAGAGAGCGCAATGCGAGCAACAATCTAAAGAGAAAGGAAGAAGAAAGGTGGCACTTCTCGAAGTGCAGCCGAGTAGTTGAGAGAAGGTCCCCGAAGGTTGGGAAACGCTGCCTCTATTCTCCGTAAGGTAGCCTTTTTCTTTTTGCCTTCGCCTCGGCGTAGCACGGTGCTGGCGTTGTTCTACTCGGGCCCAGGGCTGTACGATGAGAGGTAGCGCGTCGTGAAGGGAAAAAGCGCTTAGGTAGAGAGGGAGGGGGTGGGGGGAAGTTTCATGGCATGCAGCTACCGACGCGCTGCTGCTTTGCTGAAAGAAATTTAATGAATGGCAGGCGATCGTCGAACTTAATAAGCGTACACCGATGGCATCGATGCTTTTCTTTACCCTATACCTAGAGAACAACCATTTAGCGATCTTACCGTGACTCAAGCCTTCTATCTACGTGTCCCTTTTTTTCACTTTGATCACTGTACATGACTAACGTAACTGTTCGAGGTATGTACGTACGTTACATACGTTGCTGGCTGGTAAGTATCAAGATTTTTATTTGAATGAATTTCACAAATTACGTGTCATTTGATTTTAAGACCCAATTTCAGGGTTGATGTGCAGAAAGAAATTCATAACCTACAACACGTGTCCTGTCCATAATGTCGTTAATTGACAACTATTGTGCAAGAGGGCCGAATTCCCTAGTGCCCGAATTCCCTAGTGGAATTAGCTGAAAGTAGTTACAAATTAGATTGAAATCGACAGATACGTAGGTACGTTCTGTTTTACCATATTAAAGAAGAAATAAAATAATTTCCAGCCATTGTGAATGTTCGTGATAATGGCGCGCGGCGGACGAAGCGGCGACTTGGGCGTCCGTCAGCGACGAAAAACCGAAAGGTTCGCGGTTAATCACGCTTAATCGCGCGTCATTTGATCTAATTGAGATCGTGGGGACTCGAGGATTTGGCCCTGACATCTATTACTACCACCATCGCTGCTATCTTCGGCCGGAGAGACGAGACCGACGTTGCACGGAACTGCAACTGCGCTCGGCAGCGCGGCCACAAGTCGTTGGAACGTTTATTGTAGAGGAACTTGATGCATATACCACGTCTCGTTGTGTGTGTATACCCTCGGGCAAACCAGACGCGGCGTTCGTCTTCCCACGAACCCTTTGCTATACGTACCAGTCTTGTTACTCGTTCCGGGATCAGGAAACACTCCTATTAAGGCCATTTTACACGAATGCGAGAAACCACGTTGTACAACCTGCACGAGAGTACAATATCTACGAACTTTGCTTTTACACAATATTCGTTCATTCGTTTGATAGCGATTTCTTTTTTTTTTTTTTTTTGCAGCGCTGAGATTATTTTTAATTCCCAGAAAGCGTTATTATGAGGTCATTAACGAAGTAATCACAATGTTCCTTCATTTCTGTGCATTCTCAACTTCTTATAAGAAATAAATATTAACAACATTACGGTACGTATACAGTGACATTCAAGTTGCAAAATTTACATAATACCGAAATTGGATTTGAAATTTGCAGAATGAGAAAAATTGTGAGAACAGGCTGGTAAACAGGTAGATCTTCTTTATGATAGAAATGTGAAAAAAAGCGGAGCTAATTGGTCGGCGTGAAAAGCGAAAGAAATAAGGTGAAATATAAAGACAGCGCGAGGAACGGCGCGAGGCGAACGAAGGCTAATAATTGATTGTCAGTTTGAAGCAGAAACAGGAGTTCACCAACTCGCAGCAGCACCAACGTAATTACAGCGTTTAAAGCTACCGAATGCTTACTGAATTCCGCAAAGAATACCTCGCAGCTGAAAAGTTCACCACCTCGATTTGCAATAAAATTTCTCTCTGTTATTGTCGGCCGTCGGCCCATCAATTTCCCTCGAGTTGAACTCGAGGTTGAACCGTGTCTGAACTAGTCTGGCCCGTGAACTATCTCAAACTCACGGATCCCCCGGCATCGAGTTTAATAATTCAAGCTAACTGAAACTTTTAATGTCCCCTGCAACTTTACTTTCCACTCGTACATCTACTTCAAGAGAAGTTGAAGAAGAAAATTGAAGCTATAGCGCAAAGTTCTTCTTCTTGCCGCATCGATCGTAGTTAAGTCAGCCTGAATAAATTTGGGTGAAATAACTAAGAGGGGCAGGGGGGGGGAGATTACGGGCAAAGAAGAAACGAAAGTTTCACAATTTCGAACATTGCGTGCGTCAAGTTTTAACATGAATTATCTTCGCACTTCCATGTTATCCATAATTCTTTGCACGCTCGACTTCGCAGTCTCACGATCGATCGTCTCCATGTTGATACACGTTGCGCAATCCAAGGATCGATTCATTCCGAATTGAGATTTCTCTTGGCTGGATCGTGCTTGAAAATATTCCGGGACGACGCGGCAAGTAAATCGACTGGTCCGGAGTCTCGCGGGGCCCGATTGGCCGGCACGAATTCGTCATCCGACGGGACTGAGAGGGGCCTCTCTCGACGCGACGAAGAGAAACGAGCAAAGGAGGATGGCTCTCTCGTCTCTCGTCTCTCGTCTCTCGTTCCTCGAGAGCAGCAGACGGCCGATCCTCGCGATGAACCGAACGTCGCGTCGCCGCCCCGAGAGAGAATATATCCGATATCTTTGGAATGGGACATAGGTCCGTACGACGTGGCCGCGGACATGCCTGTACCTGTCTCCACGCATCGAACTCTGCCTGCTCACCTGCATTCCATCAACTGGGGCCTAAGGGGGGACCTTTCAGGATATCCAGGACCGTATCGCGTCGGTGGATCGTGAAACCCGCCCCTATTCGGCGATCGACGTTGACCCTCTCACGTTCAGTCCATACTGAAGTGTGGACTTGAGCAATGCTTAATCCGCACCACTGTTGTTGTTATCTTTTATCATTCTTTCTTGCGCAGAAAGTTAGAAGAATAGTGATCTCGGGAGAAGCGAGGGAGGAGGAGAATCTTCGTGAATACATTTTTCAAAATTCTACTTTACTCCGAGTTTGTATCTACGTGCGTTCGTTCGCTACAAGAGAATTTCGTTTCTCCCCGTGAGATTCAAGTTCAGTCGGTGGAAAGAATTAGATACGCCCCTAGCTGGCGAGTCGACGAGGGCGTAGGACGGTATACCGAATCGGTAACGTAGTCGTACGGAGAGCGGAGAGAAGGATACGGACGAGAGGCGCAAAGCGAGAAGCAAAAGCAACGCTCGCTCTCGAGTACCACTTAATTTTCCTGATCTGCCCAAAATCCATTCGGAATTCACGGTTTATATATCCATACGTACTCCAACCGAACGTTCATTATCGCTTAACAGCAATGAAGTTGCACGTCTGTTTCCATTTTAAATAATGACTATTATTTTAAACACGGCGACGAGTGTTGTTTAAATTTGAATAACCGTCCCCTTTTAGCCGGAGGATCTTTGGTTCTTCTCATCATAGAAAAGAATCAATCGTATCAGGGTAATTCTTCACCAACTGTCGTGGCGAATTTACTCGAATTTACTCAATAGCGGAAATATCTCTTGACTGTTTTTTTTTTTTTTTAAGCCTCTTCGTTAAACAGAGTTAAAATAAATTTATGTTTCACAGATATCTGTCAAAAAAAAGAGATTGTAAAATTGCTTGTATTGAGTTATAATTAATTATCGCAACTTGTATAGACTTTTTGTATATACGTACAGCGTAAAGATATTTGGATATTCAGAATAGAACGTTCGTTTCACGTAGTGTCAGGTTTGTATGTGTTAATAACTTAAAAGTTATTTTTTATTACAATATTATACTTGAACAGTGTACTACTTTAAAAAAACACTACTTTAAAACACACAGTGTACTACTTTATTACAATATTATACTTGAACAGTGTATTACTTTAAAAAATAGGTCTACGAGACCTCCGTTTTTTATTTTCACTAAACTAGCGAGACAAACCAATTGTTTCAAGCATTCAGTTCCACATTCGTCAAATGTTTTCTACAAATTATTCACGATCCCATCATATTTCCAACGAAGTTACACAGTTACACCGCAGAATTTCCAGGTCAGCGCGAATTATGCCAGTAGTTCGACGCGTTTCCTTTCAGTCAACGTTTGCAATTAACGGGGCTATTTCTGCGACGTTCTAGCTCGTTTCGTAACGTCCTCCAACTTGTCTTCGCCTCTTTCTCTCTCTCTCTCTCT